TTCATAATATCGGAAAGGACAACTCATTAAATCAATCACAACCCTTTAGCCCAGTTGTTACAATCAGCAACACAGTAGCATCAAGCACAGCTTAGAAATTGACCATTTGTGATAGTTATTAAGTTATCACCCTTAAACCATATGAATTAAGTCAAAATCAAGGAGCAGCCCCAAACATGTTTATTGTGAATAAACTCTTCAACATAGCAACTTTACCTTTTAGGCAATGTTTTTCAAACACCTAAGGAGTTTTAAAGACTAGAATTCTAATCTGAAGTACTGGATTGACATCTTCCTCTTAAAATATTTCACATTTATAGTAGACTTTTAGGATGCTAGTGTTCGACATGATTTTGAAGTTTGTCCCCTGTAGCCGTCTTAATCTTCCAGTTCAAAAAACTGAACCCTCATCCTGGTTTCTACGTTGCTGCTCTAGAAAATTGATTCTGTTCTCATATGATTGGAACTTTTCTGACTTGCATATTTGATCTTGTCTAAATGTAAATTCTTCATTCTGAAATGACTCATACTTAATCTAATTGTTTGCTGGCATTTTAAAATGCATAACGTTACTCAAAGAGATGCTATCTGGTATATGAGCTTGTGTGTCTGTTTTACTTCACTAAACATTTTGTTTTCCAGGTGCATCCATTTTCCTACAAATTTCTCAAATTTGTCCTTCTTTATAGTTACGAAGTATTCCACTGTGTATACAGATACAACCCATTCTTTATCCAGTTATCTGCTGATGGATTTACAGGCTGCTTCCAAGATTTAGCTGCTATGAATTGTGCTGTTATAAACATTGATGCACATGCATTACTGTAATAAGATATTTTAAACTCTTAGGGCGGGATACCTAGAAGGGAGGTAGTTGAGAAATATGGAATTTCTAATTTTAGTTTTTTGTCTATGTACACATTTAACAGTTAATCATCTTATGTCTTCTTAGCACTAATAGTAACAGCTAATACTGCATGCCTCAAATCTCAAGGTCCTGTGTTTGACCTCCAGTACCAAAAAAAAATAAAAAAGGGTTATCCTAAATTGTTATCACTCCTCAAAATGAATGAGGCGCATTTGGCATTTGTCTTTTTTTATTGAGAGATACTCTAATGTTCTGTCTGCTGATATTTTTAAAAATAAGCGTACTTGACAATGGATGGGTAATGAGAGTTGGGAGGGAGTTGGAGTGTGAGGTCTTCCTGTTTTTACTTAGATGTCTTTCTCTGTTTTCCTAATGCCTAGGGTTCTGTTACAGCTTGTATCTAGATGTCCCTGCCTTTCTTCATGTAGGGGATGTGGGGATAATGGGAGCCCCGCCCTAGTTGTGAGTGGCACCCATCAGTAGACTTGTCAGCTCAGATGGAACATAAAGGGAGAGAGGGAGGGCAGGTTAGCTGCTGGTTGATACTTCCTGCTTTGCTCCTTTGCTGCCCCCTGCCTGCTCTGTCATGGATGTTTCTCCTCTGTGATGTCCCTCTACCATGGCACCCTGCCCTGGAGCCAGCTGACCATGGGCTGAAACCTCTACCAACTGTGAGTTGAAATAAACCTTTCTTCCCTTAACTTGGGAGTATTGGGTATTTTGTCTCAGCAATAAGAAGGTAACTAAGACAAATTTCTTAATCCAGCACCTTTCTGCTGCATTGTCTTTAAGGAATAAATCCCGCAGTGTTCTGTGCAGGTTGAGGAAGAGTCATCTCCTGGCTGTCGTGTAGGGATGGGATCAAGTGCCTTAACTTCCCTTTGTACAAATTGTCAACTGATCACCTACATCTGTCTTCTAGGGTACCCTGAGCCTTCACCTCCACTGGTTGTCTCTTCTCTGTTCTCTTTTTTTGCTTTCTTCACACCTCTCTCTGTACTCACTTCCTTTCCTTCTCACCCCCTTTCCTTTCCTTCCCTCCCTCCATCCTTCCTTTCCTCCTTCCTTCTTCCGCTGCCTTCCTTTTCTCTTTCTTTCCTTTGCCTTTCTTTCTTTTTTTTTTTTTTTTTTTTTTTTTTTTTTTTTTTTTT